TCCGAGCACAGGCAGCCCTTCTTCACGCCAGGAAGGGGCATGGCAGGTACTTCGGGAAGAGACACTTCCCGACTGTGAGACATCCACAGCAGGCCTGTTGGCCCAGGTACAGCAGCAGCTCACAGGCTGGGCAGGTTGCCCAGGGAGGAGCTTCCCTCCTGACAAGCCCTGGGCCAGGCCTTGAGGCCCTTACAACACACCTGCCCAGGAAGCAGGCTCAGTGCTGAAGCTTCCCTCGCATCCCCCAGCCTCAACCCCATGCAGCCATCTGAGAAATTGGTGGGAATTTGCTCCCGTCACATTTCTTGATTCTTCTAAATCATGCTAAAACTGGGTTAGAGTGCCCCTTCCCAAGGAGCTGAGGCCCTCAGGCTCCCTGGTGTTTAAGGTTGGTCCCCTGCGGCTGTATAAAGATCTGTTGGCATGGAGGCCCTGCAAGGAAGCTGCAGGGTGGGGCAGAGCCTCTGGATTGGGGTGCAGCCTGGCGCTGATGAAGGGCTCTCTGTCCTACACGATCCCATCCGAGAGGAGCTGCTCCATCACCCAGACCAGGCTGGCACCTCAGGATCATTCTCCCAAACATGGCTCCCAGGCTTCCATCCTCCTGTGTCGTCTGCGGCTCCCGGGGCAGTAATGAATCACTGCAGCGGCTCAACTCCTTGTAGGGCCAAGGACAGGGGGTGAGGAGCAACTCTGAGGCACTCATCCTAGACTCCCCCCAGAGCTCCCCAGTGGGATGGAACCCAGTGTCGCAAGGGTTGAATGATGCCCTCTATTGTCTGCTTCCCCTTCCCTGTCTCACAGCCCCACTCCCCCCAGTTAGCTTCCTAAGCAACCACCTGCACCCAAGCAGGTATTTCAGGGTCTGCCCTCGGGGAACCCAGGGCAAGACAAGCCTTTGCTCTTGGCAGGTCCCAGCCAAAGGGTCCTCCAGACCTTCCCTCACGCAGCCTTCCCCTCAGGCTCTAGCACAAACTCGGCCATCTTCTTCTCCTTGGCAAATGCAGAAACAGATGCTGACAGTTCAGCAAGACTGCCAAACAGCCCTTAGCCCCCAGCCTACTGCCTCCCCTCTACTCCTTCATCCCATCTGCTCAGGTCACCACCTCCCAAACAGGAGAGAAGATTGGCCTCTGGCAACCTCCTTCCCATCTGGGGCATTGAAAGACCGTCAAAGCAAGAACTTTCAGACAGACCCAGAATTCCCAGGCTCCACCACCTTCCTGGGTTTTGGGGCAAGGCTGGGGAAGAACATCCCCCTGACGCTTAACAGCAGCATCGAAGAAAAAGAAACACAAAGCACTATTTCAGTAAACTGCCCAGACTAGCAGCATGATTACTTACAGCCTTACCCTCAGAGAAGAGAGTACAGGTTGCACCCAGGTGGTAAAATGATGCCGCTGGAATGGGAACCCAGGGCTCTCCCACTGTGCCCCAGTGTCTCCCTGACTCCGCAATAAGATGCACTTCTTCTTAGTCCTCCAAGGGAGGGTGAACCACTCCCCATTTGACAGCCCAGTGATCCAAAACAGAGCGAGGCTGTCAAGCTGTCCTGTGCCTTCCCTGTGTCCTTCTCGGGCCTTCCCTTTCCCTGGTTCCTGGAGAAGACCCTCAGGAACTCATCCATCTCTCGGCAGAGAGGAGCCAATGAGGTGGACAGGGTCCGTGAGGATCCAGCCCAATGGTTCCCTCCTATTCCATTTAGACTCGTGGCGACCCTACAGGGCAGGGTAGACCTGCTCTTGTGGTTTTCCAAGACTACAACTCTTTAAAGGAGTAGAAAGCCTCATCTTCCTCCCCGGAGTGGCTGGTGGTTTCCAACTGTTGGCAGCCTGATGCATCACCAAGATGCCACCAGGGTTGTCATGGGTCAAAATTGATTCAATGACGAGTCTTTTTATGATGATGATTCCATTGAGAGGGAGTCCTGGTGGTTATGAGTTAGGCTGTTAACCACAAGGTCACTGGTTGGAAACCACCAGCAGTTCCTCGAGAGAAAGAGGAAATTTCCCACTTCCATTAAGAGTTGTTGCTATTGTTGCTGTCAGGTGTCATGGGTCTGTTTGTCTCACAGCGACCCTATGCACAACAGAAGGAGACACTGCCGGGTCCTGGGCCGTCCTCACCAATGATCCTGTACCTGCACCCATGGTTGCAGCCACTGTGCCGCTCCATCTCCTTGAGGGCTTCCTCTTTTTTGCTGCCCCTCCCTCCAAACATCCTGACGACATGCCCAAAGCACGTAAAACAAAGTCTAGCCAGTCTTGCTCTAAGGAGTATTCTGGCCATACTTCTTCCAAACCAAATCAGTTTGTCCTTTCAGCAGTCTCTGCTATTTTCAATATTCTTCTCCAGCACCACCGTTCAGATACATCAAGTCCTCCTCTATTTCAGCAAGTAAGGTTATGTCATCCACGTATCGAAGGTGGGTAATCAGCCTTCCTCCAATCCTGATGCCACACTCTTCTTCATAGAAGCCAGCTTCTCCCACGATGTGCTCAGCATAGAGACTGAATAAGTGTGATGAGAGGACACAACCCTATCACACACCTGTCCTGATTTTAAACCATGCGGTATTTCCTTATTCCCTTTGCGCAACCGTGTCGTCATCCACGTGCAAGTTCTCCACGAGCACCAGCAAGCGTCCTGGCATTCCCATTCTTCTCCAGGTTATCCAGTTTGGCATGATCCACATGGTCAAAAGCCTTGGCACAGTCGATAAAACACAAGTAAACATCTCTCTGGCATTTTCTGCTTTCAGCCAAAATCTGCCTGACATCAGCAGTGACCTCTCTGGTTCCACATCTTCTCAATCCAGTCTGAACCTCTGGAAGCTCCTTGTCTTTGTATTGCTGCAACCTTTGTTGGATGATCTTCAGCAAAAATCAAGCGTTTCGGTCTCGGAAACCCACACAGGAAGGTCTACCGTGTCCTCTAGGAGCATGATGAGTGGGAACTGACTCCATGGCAGTGAGTTTTTACTCCATTTAGGAGCCCTGCTGGCTTAGTGAGTTAGGCATTGAACTGCTAACCTAAAGGCCAGAGGTTAGAGCCCACCAATTGCCCCAAGGGAGAAAGATGAGGCAGCTTGCGTTTGTCAACAGGTAGACTCTCAGAAGCCCTCGGGAGCCCCGCTCTGACCCGTAGGGGTCACTATATGTCAGAATCCACTCAAAGGCACTGGGTTTGACTGGGAGCTATTCCTTGTAGAGAAGGCAGGTTTGGGAAGAGAAGGGACACCGCTGTGCTGCCATCAACCTCCTGCACCTCCCCTGGTGACTCACGAGTGCATTCACCTGCGATGGCCCAGGCAGAAGAGAGACACCCCAGCAGCAGAAAAGAGGTGGGACCCCCAGCCTTTAAAAGCGTCTTCCCATGCAGAAGGTTCATGACTTTCTGAGACACTAGAAGACATACAGTCCCTCTGAAGAGTGCTGCCAAGTCATATTAACATCAGCCATTGGCTTTTAACATTAGAGTGGGAATTTCAGACCTCGTTAACACTGGTCATGCACTTCCTGTTCAGCTGTGTCTTCCGGAACCTGGGAACCTGTGAGTTCCACCATCAACTCCTCTGTCCCGGGGTCTCCAACTGAAAAGTGGAGTTTACCACCTGCCCTGGCCACGGGCCTGGGTTATGAAAAGGAACACAACAAGACTCCCTGCCATCAAGTCAGTGGCATAGTGGTTGCGAGTTGGGTTGCTGACCAGGAGGTTAGCATTTCAAAACCAACAGCCGCTCTGCAGGAGAAAAATGAGGCTTTCTACTCCTGTAAAGAGATACAGTCTGGGAAACCCACTGAGGCCATTCTACCCTGTTCTATAGGGTCGCCACGAGTCAGAATGTGAATAGGAGAGCCTTGGAGAAAACCTCAACGCCATCCAGAGAGGAGTCACAACCACCATTAGCTGGTGCTCATGCAGGAGGTCCGTGCAAACCCAGTGCACCGTCGCTGTG